TATGTCAAGACCATTGTCCAAAACCAGGTTCACACTGTCTTGCCTTGTGATAGCACTGTCCTTGGGGAAACAGCAATGTCAGTATTGCTGATAGGTCTTTCTGCTCCTGTGTAGTCACACTCAGAGGCACATTGGTTGCCAGAAAGAAGCCTTGCTGAACTCCATACATTTCTGCCAGATGCTCCTGGCCATTGCTCTTATAAAGACTGAAAGTTCATTTAATGTAAACTCTCATAAGCAGATCTTTATTAAAAGGCAGACAGGAGCTAAGTTAAAATATTTTAATAAAAATATTGATGAAAATTAAAGAGAGAAATGTAACTGTAAAAATATAAGAAATATATAAAATTACCTTACCTTTAAACTTTCTTACTAAAAGAAACATACAAATTTTAATTCTTTTTTGCTATTGATTTGAGCCACAATCTTTTAAAATTTTTGTTTATTTTTATGTGTATGGGTATTTTGTTTGCATACGTATCTGTTCAGCATATGTGGGCCTCGTATGTCTGGAGGCCTGCAGAGGGCCTCAGATCCCTGGAACTGGAGTATTGGACGGTCACAACCATGTGGGGTCTGGAAATTAAACCTAGGTCCTTTAACCTCTAGGCTATATCTTCAGCCCCCTAAGCCACTTTCTTGAGGGATTCTATCAAGCCACATTACATGCAGGCAATGAGATCTTTATGTCACTGATGATCACTAACAGTTTGGTACCAAATGCTGCAAAATTCCTTGGCATCACCCTAGTCTGTTAGCTAGCTCATAGGTGATAACATGGGACAGTGTGAGTGCTTGAGTCAAGGAGAAAGTATTTCCCAGGGTCGATATTCTTCTTTTAGCATGTTATCTCCTGTCCACTGCACAACATTTTTAAATTGATGGTTTATCTTGCTTTTTAATAGTTGAGGAAATGAAGCAGACAGATGTGTGACTTAAGCACAACTCTGGGACCATATGGGGTAGCAGCTTCTATTAGGCTTGTGAATTTAGCTTTGTGTTTGCTGTCTAGGTCCACCTTGAAGTGATCATTCCTGCTGGAGATGATGCACTTAATGACTATAAACTGATGGGAACTCAGAGAGAGACAGAGACAAAGAGGGAGAGAGGAGAGGAAAATACATTGTTTGGTGGACTTATGTGCATGTGGAGGACAGAGGACCTCAGGTGTCAGTCTTCAAGCACTAAAGTACACCCACTCCTTTTTTCTTTTTCTTTTCCTTTTTTCTTTTTTCTTTTGCCTTAAACTTGCCAAGTAAGCTAGGCTAGCTGGCCAGCAAGTGTCAAGTCAAGCATCTACTTTTTATTTTTTATTTTTTTGCATTCCCAGTGCTGGGATTACAAGCATGTACCACTATGCCTGGCTTTTTACAGGTGCTACAGACTGAATTTAGGTACTCATGCTTACAAGGGAAGCACTTCAGTGGCAGATCTGTCTCTCCATATCCTTGTGGGAACTTGGGAACTACTTTTAAAAATAGTGTTAGGTATTTACTTCTGTCTGTCCTGCTGATAATGTCTGCCGAATTTCATCTGTGCTACTGGTGGGTAATTTTCTAGATTATCAGGTCAAGTTTGTAGAAATCTTCCTTGTGAGGTGAACAGCAGGGACTTAACATTGCTAGCTTCCTTGGCTCGCTGTTACAGGGATGGAGATTCAGCAAGGAGATGCCCCTTTCTCAAGAAACATCCATGAAAGGATCTAGATACTGAAATGTGACGAACTGTAAAGAAATTATTTTTTAATCCCCTTTGGGGCTAACATTTAAAATTTAATTGAAAACATTTTATTGATGCATACAAGCTATATACATATACATATTCATAAAGGACTGTGTGATATTTCAATGCTTGCACCTGATGTGCATTGGCAGACTAGGACAACTGGTCTACCCATTACACTGAGTGTTTATGCTTTCTTTGTATAGAGAATATTCTAAAGCCTTTACCAGCTATCATTTAGTGTTCAGTTATTTTCAGGTATAGTTATCCTACTGTGCTGTAGAAGATTAGATGTTATCATTTCCCCCTGTGCCCCTTTCCCATATCTGCCCTAACCTCTTTAGACTCTGATATCCAGTATTCTATTCTCTAGTTGTATAACATTAACTTTTTAAGCCTCCACAAATGCATGCAAATGTGTGTGTTTTATTGTGTGGTGCCCGGCTTGCTTAGCTCAACTTTTTCCAGATCTATCACACTGCAGCAAATGACAGGACCTCACTCTCCTTGAAGGCAAATATGAAAATAAGAAAAGTGATCAAAATTTCCTTCTTACCTTTGCCTTGGGAGCTTGAGGTTCCCCAGAACATTCCCCAGAACCCTGTGTGCTGTGTAAAAGTCTCTGTCAGAGGGGAACATGCAGGTGTTTATGCAGCATCCATTCAGGTGTATGGGGGGCAATAACCCCAGAAAACCTTTAGGACAGGTGAAGTGTAAGTTCAAAAGGATGGAGGTTGTCCTGTCTCTTATTTGGGTTTTTCTTGCAGAAGCACTTAATGAAAGGCGAGCCTAAAGTCTTAAGTGCTCAGTTAAGCATTCCTAAGAAACCCAGCTCCTGTACATCCTCCAAGGGCTGCTTGTCCCTACTGACTGAATGTACTTTAGTATTCACCAGAAAAGGATACACACACATACCTGGCACTATAGCTGACTAATGTTCTTGGATCTAAATAAGGAAGGGATTACAAGCATTTTAATTTACAGCCATGGGTTTTACCCACTAAGTTCAAGGGATTTCAGGAGAAACGATTACTTGAAAAAGGCATCAACGGCAGTGAAAATTTCTGCCTTTCTGACTTAAGCACTGAAAGTTTGATCTGTTCTCCCCTTTGAGCATTTGTACATTTCCAAGATGACTGGAGATGCTGTACTCAGTCCAAAAATGTTAGAGAAGAAATCTAGGAAAAGTATTTAATGTCCTCTAAGTCATGCTATTTTCCAAATATGGACTTTTGGGTGGTCAAAATTGTTTGACACACACAAATTGTTTTACACACAAAGAGCTTATGAGCCTTTTGAACAAGAAGGGCAAAACACTGCATTTGGGCTAAAACGAGATCCTGTTTGAAGGTGATAGAAGGTTTTTAATGAGATGGTTATAGGTCTTGTTCAGGAAGACCATTTCCCTATTTCCAGAAAAGAATCCACCCTACTTATAAACATATGTGAGACAATCTGGGTTAAAATGCTTGTGAACCACACATTTCTTCAGAAATATGTTCGCTTATATAATCACACAATGGTTCTATGACCATTTGAGACACACTGATATCTACATGTGCGTCAGGCTAACTTAGTGTGCTAAAAATGTCATTTGCACAAAGCACAGCCTGCATGTAAGTGTTTTAGATAAGGTTTGTTTTATAGTCATCGGCAGCAGAGACTCAGAATCTTGGATCTTGAGGTTAAGAGTGGAGAAAGAGCACTGTTGGGACTCTGCTGCCCCGGAGTCCATGCCAACCCTCAGGTACTGAATGCCCCTTTGTCATAGGGATTCAGGACATGTTGTCTTTGAAGGGCTGATTCTATGGAGGAGCGCTGGTGACAAGCCATCTGCTTTGTGAGCAGGAAGATAGTCTTTGGGTCTCCATTGATATTTACTGGATTTCTGGGATTACCTACTCTATATGTGAAGAAAAGTAAGAAGAATACTGACTTCTTGTGACACAGAAGTTTATAGCATGCTGGCCTGACACAGAATTTCAGTGTAATAGAACTCTTTTCGGGTGACTGGCGACAGTAGCTTCGAGAACTGCGCAGAAAGTGAGATGGGACAGTACACAGATCATGCTAGACAAAAGCCACACTCAATCTCCTGCTTGCCAAGGGCTTAGGTGGCGATAGTACAAGCACACAGAGGAAGAGACCAGGGGCCTTGCTTGTAATCCTGGTGTCATCATCATCTACCCAGGAGACCCGAAGAAAATCCGAATCGCACTGACTCTCCGTGTTTCTCATCTCATGTGAACACGCCCGTGTGTGTGTGTGTGTGTGTGTGTGTGTGTGTGTGTGTGTGTGTGTGTGTGCGTGCATGTGTGTATGTGTATGTGTGTGTGTGTGTGATAGCTGCCCCCTCCCTTCTGTTTATAGTATCTTCTGCCTTGATGAAAACTATTTTACTCAGTGTTGTTCATGTCAGCTGTGCCCAATCTGAAGGAAGATAGCCAGTCTTAAGGATAAGTCTACCTTACTTACTTCCTGGGGTCTTGTGAGATTAAAATCCAGAGAATACACGGTTGTGAAAATACTACATAGACTGCAGCAGACCACGGCTTCATCTCCCCCTCCCCACTCCCCACCCCTGTTTGCTAAGGAATAAACTCTGTAGAAAGTCCAGCCTATGAAAGAAATTCCTTTCCTTTTAGAGAGTATTCCCAGAATTTTCTCCTGGCTACAGCAAAGGAAAATAAAATTGATAATGCGATATTTTATAAAAGATGGAAGCTGAGTGTGTTTGACTTGGAACCACTCATCTTCCTTCCCTGATTCTCAGGAGGAGATAAAATTGTCAAGCTACTTTTTGTATTAAGAAGAAGGAATTAGCAGGCCTGTTTGTTTCTTTTTGTTTTCTATAAAAATATACACACTCTCTTTTTCCAGACCCCTGAAGTCAACTTTGAGAGTGATGTAGAAAATCTTCTGGGTTGATCTTCGCTAAATCATTTTGACATTAGAGCCAAAAGACTCATTCCCCATGTGGCAATGTGTAGTCAGATGCTATTGACTCCAGATATGGAGGACACAAATGTTTACTGCTGTCCAGGGGTGAAGGTGGGGTTGGGGTGGGGTCAGGAGGGCTGGGAAGTCCTTATATATAGCTACCATCCTTCCATTCCCCTTTCCCCCCCCCCACATGGCCGTGTAGCTAAAGGTCTGGGAGATTGTGGGCAGCTGTTGGACATCATGTCAAGATGATGGGAGGGTATGAAGGAATTTACTTCCATTTGCCGTGCATTAGAGATAAATCCCAGTTATTGATCTCTGGCCTTTGCTTTCAGATCAGACTCCAACGCCCACGAGATTCCTGAAGAACTGTGAGGAGGTGGGTCTCTTCAGCGAGCTGGATTGCTCCTTCGAGCATGAGTTCCGGAAGGCTCAAGAAGAAGAGAACAGCAAGCGGGTAGGTGGCCTGAGTGGACACTAGAGGTGTGCCTCCTCAGCAGAATGTGTGGCACTGCAAACTGTGTTGAGGTATTCTTAGAAAGGTATTTTGAGACAAGATCTCTTGCTAAGTAGCTCAGGATGTTAAATGTACAATCCCCCTGACTCACCCCAAACACTGGGATTACAGGTATGTGCCATGATGCCTGCTTGTAATAGTATTTTCGGTATTTGTGTGTGTCTATCTAACTTTTTCTTTTAAAGTGATGTATATCTGATAGTTGATAGCATCCTGAGCTCATGTTACTGATGGGATAACGAGTATCTGGCACATGGAATTCAAGCTTTAGAAAAATATTACTGTAGTCTTAAAGCTGTGTCAGATAAATTCACCCTCAACCAGGTATTTTTTTCTTTGCTAAATATTTATCAGTAGACCTTGCATAGGCAGTGTGTTCAAAAGACACCAGGCTAAGGGGCAAATAATCCTTGGTTTTTCTCTACCAGCTTCGAAATCACTTTCTGGTCAGGTTATCTGGTCAGGTTACTGAACATATATTGTTGGTGAGGTAAACAGATGAGCTACAATGTGGCTCTCTTCATGAAGTTCTTCAGGTTTTTTTCGTATTATTTTGGTAGAAATTTTAAATCAACTAACAAGATTAATCAAAGGAGGTAGAGTCACAAGTAAATTTGACAAGTGTGCCTTTCATGAATTCTTTGTTACTGTCATAGGGTATCACTGAACGCACACCGTTTGCTGAACATGTTAGACACAGCCCATGGACAGAAATGTAAAATGTGGAAGATGGTTAAAAGGGACAAACAGCTAGGTGGTGATAAAACCAAAAATTCCAGCTGTTCCAACTGCAAAAGAAATTTTAAGGGGCTGTGATGGTTTCCTGCCTGCTTCCAAGCCTTTGACTCTTCCTCTGTGTGAAATGATGGTAACCCTCCATCAGATTTTCCGTGTCACGTTGACACTGTGCTGGCTCAGGGCTGGCTCACAGTGACCAGGTTGCATTACTTTAGCCAAATGCACGACACTTGCAGGAGGACGAGTGTAAAATTCACAATCAGCTTGCTTCACTTATAGCTAACTTGCCGTTTATACTTGCCCTCCCCTCTTGCTCCTGCCCCCACTTCTCTGAACACATTCATGTCTGCTGTTCTTTGCTAGACAAATCACCAAGTCCCGAACTCTTTCAGAAGCACTTCTCAAAAACCAGGAGATACAACTAGATTTCATTGTGCCACATATAAACTTTAAAGGCCCATGAGAATAACAAGGGGGAATCGGGGAGTCCCATCCGGTAAATCCCCTTGGCCTGAGTAATGAGATTAGTTCTTTTGATCAATTTGCATAAGTAGAAGACTGAGAATCAATGTCCTCATTTTCCCAAGACAGTCCAAGTGGGCTTCTTAGATTATGATAGAGACGGGTGTGTGGTCAGTACTGTCTTCACATTCTTCCTGGCAGAATGGCAGTAAGCACATATCCTTGATATTCCTAAAGACTTTTTTGCCAAGGACAGTTTGGTGTGGCCTCAGTTGGGGGTGTGGCAGTCAGGCGTGTTCCTGGTGAGTTATTCATGAGTCTCCATGTGAAGCCTCCTGCGAGCAGTTCTTGCAGATCTGAATTCCAGGAAATGGTTTGCTTCCCCTGAGGAACCTGAGCATTTTTCTGCTGTGGCTATGAGAAGTGCGTACTGGTTGTATTTCTCTTTTTGCTCTGACTGCTAGATTATCACAAGCCAAGGGCACTGCTTAACTTGGCGAGCTCTTTAGGCCACTATAATGAGTAATATTTTACTTCCTCCATCTACCAGACTTTCAGTTATAGTTTGTGTTTCCTCTGGTCCTGATTTCTAATTAAACAAAAGTATTTTCATGCTGTACATGTTTGGTGAATTGCCTTAAATTCCTTGTAGGCTGAGAAGACATGAACTCATTACAATTTAGAAATTAAGTAATGAAATAAGCAGAGCCAGGCAAGAGAACTGTGGTGATGGCAGGATAGTGTTTTTCTGGTGTTAAAATGTTGCTGTCACCATGGGATGTGTAGGGGAGTGGCTGCAGACAGACCCTTCAGGACACCATAGCAAGCATTGGGAGCCATATTCAGTTTGGTGAGGCTCCCTCTTCCTCTGTTTGGTTCAAACCAGAGGGACCAGATCCATTCTTGGGTGGTCATCACTGCAGTAGGGGCCTGCAGGGACTAATGCACTGTGACTCATGCAGCAGCAAAGTGACTGTGTTGGTGGCTTATCCCCTGGCATGGCTTTAGAACCACTAGGTGGGGAATTCACAGGAGCACCGATGTTTCCAGTCTGAAGGTGTGCTTTCTCCTGCCTCCAGGCCTGTAATTCTCCAGCTGTTAGCATCCCTGAAGGCTGCCACCGAAAGCTCCTACCTCATTTATTTTTTGCTGCTTGTTTTCCAGTTATCTTCTCCTTTTGCTGTACATTCAGGTGCTGATTCATTTTCAGCAAGGGTTTTCTTCCCAGTACTTGACGCCTCACATATGACAGGCAAGCATTCTGTCAGTGAGGTACATATCTAAGCCCAGTTGTTTCCCTTTAATTCTAAACCCCAACCTTTCCTTTTCTGATTTCTTCACCTGAGCCCTCCTCTCTCTCACTGTCTCTCTCTCTCTCTCTGTCTCTCTGTCTCTGTTTCTGTCTCTCTCCCTCCTCTCTCTCTCCTCTGCTGTATGCATGTGTTCATGTGATAAGCATGCCATGCCGGGTGTTTATGTGAGTACTGGGCATCTGAACTTGGGTTCCTCAGCCCACTCTTGGCCCAAGTCCTTCAATAGGAGTGTACTTGAATTGTTTCATCAGTAGAGTTTTATAAAGTGGAAGATGTTTTCAGCCATTTGGAGAACTTGGTTTAGATGGTCCTGTGTTTCACCGTTACATTTCTAGCTGTAGGGTTGGGAAGTCCGGACAAAAGGCAAGTAGAGAATGGATTCTTATGAGTCTGTGTCCATTGATACAATTCTGCTTTATGGACTCTGACTCCAATTCTGACTAATAGTTCCTCATTGGCTCATAACTCTTCTGAGAGATATCCCACACTCAAAGAATTATAACTCTAACAGGCATTGTGAAGCTCAGCTTGCCCATGGCTTAGAGCTCAGTGCCCTATACCCTGAAACACATAACTTGTTCATCAGCCTCCATTCAGGAAATAATCAAGTACTGTCCAAGTTTCTGATGAAGACACTAACAAATATAAATGATCAGAAACCAATCAAGCAATAAAATGCCTCAGCCTTCAGATACCTTGCTTGTTATGGACTAGACAAACAACACTCCAGCGAAAAATGTCCCATTGTGGTTAGGTGCTATGGAGTTATGCCCTATGGTGGTCAGTGCTATGGAGTTGGTTATGCCCCATGGTGGTCAGTGCTATGCAGTTATTCCCCATGGTGGTCAGTGCTATGGAGTTAGTTATGCCCTATGGTGGTCAGTGCTATGGAATTATGACCCATGGTGTTCAGTGCTATGGAGTTATTCCCCATGGTGGTCAGTGCTATGCAGTTATTCCCCATGGTGGTCAGTGCTATGGAATTATGACCCATGGTGTTCAGTGCTATGGAGTTATTCCCCATGGTGGTCAGTGCTATGCAGTTATTCCCCATGGTGGTCAGTGCTATGGAGTTAGTTATGTCCCGTGGTGGTCAGTGCTATGGAGTTATGCCCCATGGTGGTCAGTGCTATGCAGTTATGCCCCATTTTGGTCAGTGCTATGCAGTTATGCCCCATTTTGGTCAGTGCTATGCAGTTATGCCCCATGGTGGTCAGTGCTATGGAATTAGTTATGCCCCATGGTGGTCAGTACTATGGAGTTAGTTATGCCCCATGGTGGTCAGTGCTATGGAATTAGTTATGCCCCATAGTGGTCAGTGCTATGGAGTTATGTCCCATGGTGGTTAGTGATATGGAGTTAGTTATGCCCCATGGTGGTCAGTGCTATGGAGTTATGTCCCATGGTAGTCAGTGCTATGGAGTTATGCCCCATGGTGGTCAGTGCTATGGAGTTATTCCCCGTGGTAGTCAGTGCTATGGAGTTAAGTGCATCTGTGAAGGAGCTCAGGAAGGGGTGGGTGTGCTCAGAGGGGGCATTCCAGTGGACCCAGAAACCCAAGTAGAAGTCCTGAGGCTGAGAAGATGGCCTGTAAGAACAGAGAGAATATGTGTAAAGACCTGAGGCCGGGTGATATGTACTGGAAAAGTTCTGAAGAGAGGTACAGCCGGGGAAGGGTACCTTAGAGAGCTGGGTGTGGGGAGGCAGACCCAGGAGGGCGTTGCAGGCCATGTGATGTGTTCTGTTTTTACACTGACTCGGAATAAGATGGGAAACTATAGGGCAGTTCAGGGTAGACAGCTGGTGGGTCTTGAGATAATACTTTAGAAAAAGTCATTTTGTCTGCTGAGGGGAAAGTCAATGGTGGAAGGCAGAAAGAGAAAATATTGAAGAAAGAACTGAAAGAAATCTAGGTTAATGTTCTTAGCATATTTGCCTAAAATAGAGATGGAGGACGTGGCTGGGATCTAGGTATATTTTAAGGGCAGAGGTGATAGTTTTGCTGGTAGAATATACTGGAAGTCACAGGAAAAGGAGACTTGGGGAGCACCAGGGCCTTCCACTTGCACAACCGGAAGTGCAGAGTGGCTGTGGGAGGAACGGGGTTAGGAGAACCTGACATTTGACTTCATGAGACTGAAAAGACTCACTTCTGACAGGAGTGGCTGTCAGGCGGAGGTCTACACATGGGCCCTGCAGGGTCTTCCAGCTCTGTCCAGTTCAGGCTTCATTCAATGCTGATCAGTGGCAACAGAGTCATGAAGAACCAGAGTGAGGCCCAGATCCTTCAGAAATTCTGAGGGGAAAATTGGTACAGATTTTGTGGTCCAGGTCAGAAGAAAGAAAAATAAAAAGTTTTTTTAAAGGGAAAGGATGAATTGGCCTTCCACAGTTGATTCCTTTCTAGAAAAGAGACTGATTAACACA